AGCACGTGTTGGTGATATATATATACTACAAAAGTGACCATAGCTCCACCTATGGGCCAAAATAGTGCAAATCTATTAACACCTAACATCTTTCCCCTTAAATACAAAATAAGATTCTTACAACTGACAAATTATAAATGTGTGTCAATACTGACATCGAATTATTGGTTAAACGTAAATGATGGTGCAACAGCTATGGACTAAGCTGTTGCACCTGGTCATGACGCATCGGTTCTAGCTTGCGGGTAGTTGTTGGAAGGAGCGTTTTAGTTTGCCTACCGAACAGCCTTTGTACCGGACTGGTCCAAATTCCTTCTGTCGGAGTATTTCTCAAGTTTAACAGCCCTATGAAGGGATCCTCTTATTAGATGTCTTACACTTTTTCATCATTCTCTTGGCTATTTTTACTGCAGCCTCCGCAGCCTCGGTAGCCTTGCTATTTCCTCGACTTGTGATTTCGTGCGTGAATCCCCACGTCTTACTGAAACGCTTAAACTTGTCTGAGATGTACTGCGGTCCTCCATCGCTTATGACAACATTGCGAATTCCGTGTCTTGCAAAGTGGTGCTTCATCATTCCAATTACAGTCTCAGCCAATGTGTCTGACAAGTAGTCCAGTTCAAAGAAGTTGCTATAATAGTCAACAGTGATATGATCTGTTCTCGAATGTTAGTAGGTCTGTGCCCACCTTTTTCCATGCTCGACGTGGTACATCATGCATGCATGTGCAGATCGGCCTCCGGGGCCTGCTTATCGCTGTCAGTCGCACAACCGATACAACTAGTGTTGGAGATCGGTCCAAATTTCATGATCAATCATCGGTTTTGCAAAACGACCGATGATCGATTAATCATCGATCATTTTAGATTGTGGCGACGACGCGGTGACGCCGCGTCATCGTCGACACAACCGGTGTATTGCAAAGAAAATATTGACATTATTGTATGTGTAGCTAGTATTTAATAATAAGTAAATTAAGGATACTGTTCGGGTTACGGACGGGTAACACTCTAAAGGGCATTGCAATATAACTGCTCATCAAACTCAATAAAAAAAAATATATAAAAAAAAGAAAGAAAAAAAGTTTTCTACTCGATTAATCAACTCGGCAGCCAAAACAAGTAATGATCGACGAACTCGATTAATCGGAACACCACTAGATACAACCCTCGACAAATTGTATCATTTCAGCTGACATCCCAGGCCAACACGCGAGTTCACGAGCTCTACGTAGGCACTCATTTATTGCCATGTGTCCGGCATGTAGTTTCTGCTTAATTTCAGGTCGCATAATCAACGGTATCACCACTCTCTCTCCTCTTAGTACAATGCCATCCTGTAGTGTCAGTTCATCTCGATAGCTGTGGTAAGGTGTTACAGCACAGGGCAGGCGTGACCTATCCTCTGGCTACCCCTCCATTTATCATGGTCTTTAGTGCCGAGAGTGCGACATCTCTCTTAGTTGCAGCACGTAACTCCTCCAGTCATTCCCTTCTTATGGGTAGCAAAGAAACGTTGCTCACCGACCATGCTCCTGTAGGGACAGTGATTTCCCGCGATTGCGAAAAACGGACGGAAAACACGGAAACGGCCATTGGAAAAGGGAAAGATGTTTTCAAACGGAAAAACGCAGAAAACGTAATTTTAACAAATTACAACATGGAAATTTCAATAAAATCACACAAAAAACCGTCGACAATAGCATTGGTATTGATATGGTAATTACATTCAGACAAGTTTCAGAGCGAAATGACTTACAATTACAACTTTTGGTAGCCCTGTGTTTCGGTTTCAAAGGTTGTACCAAATACCTTTTTTTTCATGCAAATATATGTAAATGGAATTTTGCATTTTTGGTGTGTACAATCTCTATGGCAAAATGGTATTTCCATTTTTTCTTTACTTTGAAACGGAATTCATGATTTTCCCAAACGGAAAAGGCAATTTTTTGAAACGGAAAATCACTGTCCTTATATAATCGTGTGATCGTCACGTCAGGGAGCGAAGCAGGTGAAGGAGCATTAGCCACAGCAATAGACATTCATGGTTTATAGATAAGCTAAAAATCATATTTTTGACTCCTCATGATTACTGATTGCAATCTCGTTGGTGCCTTAGAAAGTGGCTTGGACAATATAGCCACCAGAGGTTTGCGCTCCGTTATCACTTTGGCCCGTCGACCATAAGTGTAATGATATAACTTCTCTAACCCGAATGTCACTGCCAGCATTTCTTTTTCTATCTGCGCATATCGGCCCTCTGTATCCGTCAGCCACCTGCTTGCATAAGCCACTGCGCACCCTTGCTGCATGAGCACTGCTGACTGCAACCAAACCATAATCACACACATCATTTTCCAGCACAAGTTCCTTTTCTGGGTTATAGAATGCCAGGACTGGAGCACTGGTTACCATCTGTTTGATGTCCATAAACGCCTTGTTATGCGTATCAGTCCACGTCCACTGTATGCCTTTCTTGGTGAAATTTCGTAGCGGTTCTACATTAAATTACCATGTTAAATAGATGAGAATCCATATACATATTCTAACATACAGAATCCATGATATATCATTACTATATATGTCACATAAAGATATTCATTATTATTACCTGGTGTGAACATGGACTTAAATTCGGGCGTGTCCAACTTCATCGTGGTATATTTCGAGCAGCGTCGAGCCAGCGAGAGACAGAAGCTTTGTGTTAGCGCCAGTCTAGGTAGGATTCTCACAATGTGTATCGTTGTCCCATACATGCCATCAGCAGTGCCTGTCGGCCAACGGTCCACCGCTGAAATGTCGAGCGTAATCCGTTACTGATGGCGGGTAACTCGAGAGAAGAATTGCTAGAATAACTCGATTACAATACTCCATAAAGGCTGTTTTCGGATTCTATTACAATAGCAATAATGTGCTAGCAACATTTTATAAATAATTTTAATGATTCAGACAGGAAAGAATTCTACCAGGCAGATTTGCCAGATATGCCAGACTGCAAGACTAATGCCACAAAACTTCAATTTTTTTTTGTTTTCTGGTATCTATTTTTTCTTCATGTTGTCTTAATCACTTTACTAGTACCGGTACAGAATATGTTGAAGTTTTTTTTTGTATATATATTTTTTCTTCATGTTGTATAGCATTGTAATTGTACTGTATCCGTCAGAAATTTTATCATTTTAACTACTCAACTGAACACTATTGCTTTTATCAGATTTTTTCTGACAAAAAAATGTCGTCAGTTCATGTATTTGTATCTGAATTCATGCAATAAAGATTTAATAATAATAAAACACGGCCATAACATTAAAGCGTGTATTGCGAGAATTTTCCAGTGTTTTCCCCACTTTCATGATACCTACCGTTATTGCTTGAGTAACAGAAATTGTCTAGAGTAACGATAAAATGTCGTAGAACCTTCGTATTCACCAAATCCAATGAAATCATGCACGATTACAATTTTGCGTTCTGTTTCTGTTTACCGTTGCCATCTCTCAGACTTTCTCGCGGTAGCGCGAGACATCTATCACGGTGCAGTAATGCATACCGTCGCACCGTAGAAATCAGGTCAGAGTGTAAACACAGACGTTCATACTACAGGCATGAGACAGACAAATGCTGAAAAGGGAGGAAGGGTGGGAAAGGGAGGAAGGGGGGGAAAGGGAGGAGGGAAACTTATATGGGGGTCTGGAAATTTATGAAAATTATAAGCTCTGAGATGCAATCCAGAACTATAGCAACACTTTTTGGTGGAAATGGAAAAAATTATGTAAAATTTACCTACTGTAACATTTTGATGGGCACTGGGAAATTCCGTCTGCGTTGAGTGTGTCCAAAGTAAATGTATTTTGTAGACATACAACCTCTTACGTAGGGAAGCTTTTATTTAGCTACACCCTGTATAAAATGTATATAGTTTTTCCAAACGTTATAAACTCAAAACTTGAGATAATTATTATTATTTACTGTATAATTCAACATGATATATTACCTAAATCTTCTTAATATTATTTTAAAACAGTATACTGATCGTTTGTTAACTACCAGTGATACTTTATTGTTTACATCCAAACGTGAAATGCGCGGGATGTGCGGATTACTCAATAACCTAGCGCACGTGAACAGTGAGCGTGCTGCTCGACCCGTGCACGTAAATAAACCCTGGCCAACACAATGTAAGGTTCACTACCACTGGCCAAAAGTAAGTTCCACCCACTTCTTATCGATTTTTGGTATGCCAACGCTGCTACTGGATTCAGGAACCTATGCTAACCTGTGCGTCCGAACATCCCACGCACGTTTCTTGAATGCCAACTAAAGTTTGGCCGTAACCTGCTTTTATCATTATATGTTAGCAAGCATACATTAACTATTAAGACAATGATACGAGTAGAAGCGCTCTGGATAGTTACTGAGTCACAGTGTGTTCACATGTACGCGATCGTCAGAGACCACGGAGGTATTCTTACCCCCCCAAAAAAAAATTCTCCTCTAATTTACACTGATCTCAGAAATGGTCTCTGAAGTTATAAAATGGCCTGAAATCCGCCGAACGGCGGAAATGTCCCCGCACGCCGCTATTGGCACGAAAAAAAACCTACCGTTCCCTTCTACATGGCTTTATACCTTGCTACTGATATGTGTACACATTCATTTCAATCGTTATTCACTTCTTAAAAGATTGTTTTTCAGAAACCCCGCTTCATTTAACTTTAGTAAATAACGTTTGCCATTTACAAACAATCAGACCAATCAGAGCGAGTCTTACAATAGCCCCTGGTTCTTGCTTGTATCTGTGGCGCTGCAGGAGGCCTGATAGACTCGCTCTGATTGGTCTGATTGTTTGTAAATGATGAACGTAATTTACTAAAGTTACATGAAGCGGGGTTTCTGAAAAACGATCTTTTAAGAAGTAAATAATGATTGAAGTGAATGTATACACATACCAGTAGCAAGGTAAAGCCATGTAGAAGGGAACGGTAGGTTTTTTTCGCGCCAATAGCGGCGTACAGGCCCCATTAGCAGCGCATGCATTTTGCATGCGATCTCACGAAATTTCAATGAACCCCGTTCTGTCCCAATAACCCTCACCAAAATATAAAAAAGGTTATATGGGACAGAATTATTTGGTCTAGCGTGCGCTCGCCACATCATTTCAAAATGAATTGCCAGTAGTGCTTACTTTGAGAAATAAATGGATAAATACATGGTGTAAAGTTGTGAAAAGTGTTGAAAACGATACGTCGATAGGTGAGATGTCCATGTTGATAGAGATCGAAGTGTTAAAAAGCCCGATCATTTTGCGTTTTAGGGATAAATTTTGGGTTAGACCAGTTGGAGCATTTGGTGTCTTTACATCTATGGCAGAATGTGCTATAGCCCTGCGGCAGCTATCCGCGGGCTATAGATTATAGTACTAGAGCTGGCCGATCTCCAGGGTGCAAATCCACCCACACCACGCCGATCTCCAGGGTGCAAATCCA